TTGATAAAATGTTTCTTCTGGTTTTTGAGTGAAAATGGTGACTTATCTTTCGAAAGAGTTTGTTCTGTGAGATAGAAAAAACTTTTTTAAAAATTATTATTGCATTTCATCCCAAACACAAATGGATTCTAGTCTCAAATTTTATAGCCATGTTTTAGCTTTATCTTTAAATGAAGAAGAAAAAGGCTTTAATCTGATTGTGTTCATACTATAATTTGAGTTATTATAAGTGTTACAAACCTCCTCAAATTCTCTCAAATGTAAGTATGGATTTTCTAGATTTAAGCTATGAAAATAAGATAAAAGTTGGATAATATATTGCTTAAAATTAAAATGAGATGTATCAAGAGGAAAAAACTATGCATGATAGTGCATTTGTTTTTGTGAGATTCATGTAGTCTTTAAGTATTCTAACTAGATTGTTCTTATTATGAAGTGACTGATTATCTTCTTCGGGCATATTTTTTGAAAATAATGAGGATACCTTATAAACTCTAGCATTTAATATACGTGACCACATTCTCATGCACATATAGGAAGAGAATAAAAGGAAGAAAAAAAAAACAATACAAAAGAAACAAAGTTAGATATAAGAAAAGTGAAAAGATAAAATAAAATAAATATTATAATTTATACAAAAATTTACCTCCCTGATAACGGCACCAAAAACTTGATACGACCAAAAAATTGATATCTTTTTCCAAGTATAGGAATGTTGAAATAATAAATAACCCAGTAAGACTACGGTCGAACCATAAGGAGATTATCAATATAAATTATAAATAATACAACAATAACAACAACAACAACAATAACAATAATAATAACAATAACAATAATAATAATAATAATAAGCTAAAAAGAATTTTAAGATATAAGATTAATGTGAGGATTAAACAATGATAAAAACAAATGTCAAGGTTAGAGGATCCACTAATGGTATTTCAAACAAGTATAATATAAATTCTTTTTATGACTCAACTGGAAACCACACATAAAAGAGGTTCCAATCAGATTATAAATGATTAATATGATTACATTAGTTATCTTATTCGAATAATGCTAATACTTGTAAATGTTGTTAGATATTCATAATCATAACTTATGTTAACAACAAATCAAGTTTCTTTCATAGCACAAGTGTAGGTTATACCATATGGTTGGACTATAAAAGTGTCAAGTATTTGTTGTACCAAATGTTATACAACATAAATCTAGATTAATCATTTAACAAGTAAAGTATTAAAAGTGAACAAGATAACAAATACAAAACATGTTAGTATTAAACATTAAATTTCATGTTAAGTTTACACTATACTTATTCTTACACCGTTAGTGTAACCTTTTTCACCTTGACATGATAAACTTAACTAAACATAATGAAAGAGAGAAACATAAATAAACAAGATAAAAACATAAATAAGATATAAGTTAACTAAGTAAAGGAAAGGAAATGAGAATCATAAACAAGAGATTAATATAAGTAAAATTTAAGCATTACAAAAATATAAAGAGAGAAAGAGCAAGAACATAATCTTGATCTAAAAATTAAGATGCCTAAATGTATGGTAAATACCTCATTTTATAGGATAAAATTAGAAACTATTGATTTGTTGACTAATTGTTGAGTGGGTGGCCAGATCTTAACTTGGTGACAATTCTTATCTTCTTGTATGAACAAAACATCATTGCTAACATCAAAATTTAAACAAACTTGCATCATGAGAGTTCAAGGAAATTATCTCAACTTTTCAAAAAAAGAATTGAGGTCATTTAGACTTCTAGAACTCGAGATATAAGTTAAACACTAAATAATATCTGGGCTGCAGGACAAATTTTGACTTCTTCGTTGTTGCTACAATTTGAACTTGAAAACCACCTTTTTGAATTTGGACTCTGCATGAAAGTTTTAGGCCTGTGCTTTAGCTTTCCATCCATATAGAGCATACCCAAATCCAAGTTCTACAGCTCTGGATATGCCCAATGACTGAACAATGTTCTAGTTTAGACTAAACCAGCATCTCTTTTCTAAGCTTAACCCTCTCATTGTCTTCTCAATTTCATTAGTTGAACTCATCAATCAATCTTTTGATTTATGTGATAGGCCTGCATTTTAGATGAACATTTACGATAAATTAAAGCTATCTTATATTATCAAACTTATTATTATAAAACATGTTTAACTTAAAGAGTTATTGATACTTCAAGTGCAAAATGATAATATAATATAAAACCTTGATAAAAATATATTTTTAAACATTAATCACACTATTTTGAGCCGTATTTAACAATAAAAATCAATCGTGATCCAAGACATAATGATGGTGGGGAAGTGACTTTAAGGGGGAACATGTCTATACTTTTCTATCATGGATGGCCCGTGCCAAAACATGTTGTGAGGAAAATATAATTAATAAAAATATAATTCAAACAAGCACATAATTATGTGTTATTTAACTATGATGAACTGAGATATTTTATTCAGTAAGTGTAATAATCCAATTATTGTTACTTTTGAACAATTTATCTCTTATACTATCAAATTGATAGAGTGTTGAATTTCTCGTAGGCAACAACATTAATTTTTACATTCCAAAAATTTATAGTTAACCGAATCTCAAATCTTTCATTTATAAGGTGATAAAATTTTCATGTGGTTTAGAACACATGTAAAGACTATTTAATTATTCTTATCTTTCAAGATATTTAATTTCATTACACATTTCTCATTAACTATGATGAAGGTGTTATCCATGTACTAGATTTATCAATTGGAAGGGAATGCTAATATTACTTTGAATTTAATAAGTTTGGATTATGAAAGAAAGGTTAAATGTTGTAACAGGTATTTCGTTAATAGACTTGTGTTTCATACTGAAGAGAATGGTTAGGGTAAAAAGATATATAATAGTGGGGTCTATGTTAAATGATTGATTTTTAATGAGTTTGAAGTTGACTACTATAAGAAGTTAGAAAAGGTCATAAAAGATCATTGAATTACAATATCATAGCGAGCAAAATATAATTTTTTTATTCAAATATTATTGGTATGATACCACCGATAAAGAAATCAGAATAGATCTCCATCATGGTTTGATCGAAATTAATACAAAGACTAGACTTTGCAATGTCAATGATGTCTTTGTTTTTACCAAGTAATGCTAATAAGTTTATTACACATTCACTCCTTCCTCTAAAAAGATTTGTTCAAGAGATGATTAGTTATCTATAGTGAAAATCAAAACCTAAAGGTCATGTCTAGGTTATTCAGGATGACAATGATGAATTAATTGTGGGAGATGATGTTTTTCAAATTAATTAGTTAGTTGATTCATATCGAGTTGTTCTATCTAATGATTTAAAAAAAAATCAAATTTTTATGTCACCGAGAATATTTTGATTGATGTTGATATTGAGGATTTAAATGATATTTTGAAAACCAATGAACATATAGAAGTTGATAGAGATGATGATAAAGATAAAATCAACATAGAAGAAGATTGCAATAAAAATGACATAGTTTGTCAATATATTCAAAGAGTTAAAAAAGAATTATTGTAAATGTTATTGCCACTATTTACTTACCGATGGAATAACAGATAGCTTGTTTAACATTTATATGTCAAATTCACATAAGAAAATACCAAAGAAAGAAAAAAAAAAGCATCGATTAAATGACATATAATTTTTCTCAATGATATATTATATTCATCGATGGAAATACTAACGGAATGAAACAAGTAAAAAACATTTTGGCCTGTTTTTTTTTTTGTTTGTAAATCTATCAATAAAATTATTATTAATAGATCATAAGTCACCGATGAAAGTTTATTCAACGGATTATCTCTATCTGGGAGTTTATTGGTGAGCATAAATATCAACATAGAATTTCATCGATAAATCAAAAAATTCTGGTTGTGTTCCTGGTTGTGTTTGGATGTCTTATGCTTATAATAATTCTTCAATTTTTTTTCCTTTCGTTTATTTTCTAATTATTAGTTCTGGTTATTTCACTTTACACTAAACAATTGCAATTTTTATGAAAAATTCCACCCTCCGCTGGCAGCGTACTCAAGGAGGATAATAGCTGCATAGCATGGCGTGACAAGCAAACTCCTAAATCAGTTATCTATGTAAGCGTGGGAAGTGTAGTTTCCATGCAGGAGAAAGAGCTAGTAGGAATGGCTTGGGGCCTAGCCAGCAGCAAGCAGCCTTTCTTGTGGTGCATTAGGACTGACTTTCCTGATGGTAGGTATAAGGAAAAAAAAAAAAAACACTGTAGGGGATAGAGATTGCATTGTGAAATGAAAAGCACAAATGGAGGTGTTAGCACACTCTGCAGTTGGATGGTGGCTGGAATCCCACAAAGGAAAGTTTATCCGAATGAGTTCCAGCGATATGCAAAACTAACATACTTTGGGGATCAAAGAGTGGATGCAAGATATGTGAGTCATGTATGGAGAGTAGGCTTCGAGTTTGAGCCTGAAGTGGAGAGAGAGAAGATAGAAAGAGCTGTAAGAAAACTAATGGTGGACAAAGAAGTGGGGGAGATGAGGCAGATAGCAGTGGACTTGAAGCAGAAGTTTGAATTGAGCATAAGCAATGCGATGGTGGTTTTTCTTCTAATTCCTTGAATGGATTAGTAGAGTTCATAATGTCTTGTTGTCGATTGCCTAAATTGATTAGTTTATGTTTGTTTCCTTACAATCTTTTTCAACAAGTAGCTAAGTTTGTTCGAAAGTGCCTTCTGGTGATAATGCTAGTGTGGATTTTAGAGATGGGGGATTTGAATCACTGGCCAAATTGTACATTTTCAAAGTTAAAAGTTGTGGTTAAATGAGTCTTCTGCGCTGGTTTTGGACAGGCTCACTCATCATTTTCTCTTGCGCTTTGTTAGTTTTGATCAGTTCACTGGCTCACTTTTATTGTTTTATTCTTTGCTCTTTGTTCACTGGCTCACGTTTATTGTTTTGTTCTTTGTTCTTTGTTCTTAACCCTTGGCAAAATCTTCCTTGCAAATTAAATAATTAATAGGTTAAAAAAAAGATAGTACATTCGTTTCCTTCCTCAACTCCGACATGGGTAATAAAGATAATCTCGGCAGACTAATGCTCAAAAAAACAATTGTTTAAAGGAAATAAATTGACTAGTTGCAAAGAAAATCCGAAGAAAAAAAATCATCAGGGCAGTTACTGGTCTCAGTGTAGTGAAGAAGCAGCTCGAAGCCTTGAATGTCAACACTTGGGAAGATCGGCTGGGGGGGGAAGCAGCTTCTGATTGGGAAGCTTTCCATCCAGGACAACCCAAGCCATCTTCAAGCCCCAGCTTGTGTGCACTTCTAGATGGCAATGCATGAACCATACACCTGATGATGCCATCGTCCACAAATGATACAACTCAGCAAAACATGGTGCTGCGTACTTGCATAAATATAATTATCTAAGCCAGGATATTACTTAGCACTACTTATAATTAATTACCAACCTGGGTTGTCGGCTAGAAAACGAATAGCAACCCAGCCTCCAGAGGGCACTCCCACGGTATTCCTTTCAACGGGGTCAACAAGATTGAAATTTGCAGGATCCTTTTTTGCATCAAAGTTCCCAAATCCTTGACCAACAACAAAGAAATTGAAACCATGCAAATGAAGAGGATGGCTCTCAGCACCAAGGATGCTGGTGTCCTGCATAATGAGCTCCACGCTGGCGTTAAAAGGAAGCACAACTAGCTTTGTTCCATTGTTCACCATAGTATTGTTTGGTGGGGTGCCGGTATAATTAAAAGGGATTGGTGGATTGATTGGAAAGTTAGGGCTGTAAACGCCCTTTGATTGACCAAAATGATGGGCTTGGAGTAGAGCTTTGGTTGGCATCACAAATGATACATTATTAACTGAAGCTGCAAACATTGTTCCATTTGGTCCCTGGCAGGTTTGGTTTTTGGAGCATGGGTTTGTTCCAAGGCCTACACTGAAGAAAAATTGTCTGTCAACCTTTCGCGGCACATTGGCAGGGAATTCTGCACTTGCTAGGCTGCGGAGTTTGCTGGTGAAATTTGTAGCAAATGAAGTGTCAGTTAGAGGTGGTAGATTTGGTTTATAGAGCGGCAGTTTCTTAGGGGAGTGGCTTGATTTAATGGTTTTGTTTGATTCTTCATATTCTAAGATTCCAGCAACAGTTGAATTATCAAAAGTTCCTTGACCAGTCACGTAAGGTCTCGCAGACATGAAAAAACTGGCGTTTGGGTGGTGGGGCTTGGTCTTTAGAAGAACGTTTGTGGTTTGTCCAGGAGCAATGAGAAGTGTCTCGGTATCAAATGGTTTCACATAAATAGCATCAACATCAACAACGGTGAGTGTATGGTTTGCTATGCTGAAGAAGAGCTCGTCATTGAGTGCGGCGTTGATCATGCGAAGAAGGTAAGTCTTTCCTGGCTTTACCTTCAGCTTGAAAGTATCTGCCAAGCACCATGCATACAAGGTCAATGAGAGAAAAAAAAAAAATGCTCTGCATGGTTGTAGAAGGCCTACTGCGCTAACATGTTATACCTTTGGCAGAGCAGTTATACAATGGCCCTGGAAATCCATTGATAGTGTAGGCATCAGAGACATTTGGGCCTCCACCCGTTTGCATTGCCTGCGTAATGATTGCCTCTGGATCTGCATTGAACCACTCTCCTGCAATTTATTTTGCATTATCGTTTGTGTTAGCAGACATAATACTACATCAACAGGGAAAAAAATTGATTCAAGTTTTAACGAGCTCTTATTCAAAGTAGCTTAATTAGTTTCTTATAATAGATTACCAAAGATGATCGGAACTTCCTTGTGAGGTTTAGCAAATGGATAAGTAGTGCCGAGTTTGGGAAGAATGATAAGTGGACCGTGGAGAGTTGATCTTAACCATGATATATGGGCATGCCACCAAAGAGTGCCTCTTTGCCCTACAGTGGTGTAGTTGTACACATAGCTCTGTCCAGTTTGTATAGGGCACTGAGTTATGTATGCCGGTCCATCAGCCCACCCACTTCGAAGCTGCCGAATTCCATGCCTGTATCAATGAAATCGTCGACAGAGATTTAGACTCAGCTTTTTCTATATAAGGTTCACTATATTTGGAGGGAATTGAAGGAGACCAGTCCACATATATGTACCAGTGAATAGAGATATTGTTTTGGACATGGTTAACCACTTTAATAATAAGACGATCACCCTCCCTAGCAACAATGCGAGGCCCCGGGAACTTGCCGTTGACTGTTACAATGCTCTTGGTGTGGCAAAGGCGGGTCACATTTTGTAACATAACCTGCAAAATTTCATTTTCTTTAGACTGTTAGGAATCAAGTTAAAAACAGAGGATAAAAAATTTGAGCAGTTTTAGGTACTTATAGACAATGATATGCATGTAACACACACATACATCAAATTTGTAGTGCCTAGTAATGGCAAGTGCGGGCTCTGGATGGATAGACAAGGTGACAAATGAGATGAGAAAAACTGCAAGAAATGCTGGTGATGGAAGAAATGAAGCACCCATTTTTATCTGTTTCGTTCTTTTCGAGAGGAGCTGCTCTTTTGGGACTGAATGTACATCAAAGCTTAGAAACCAGTATATATAGAGAGTTGAAGGCAGGGTGTTTCGTTGATTAGGTGACAGAAATTGTATAGTTTAAAATTGAAAAGAAAACCAGAACAAGCTACATGAAACTATGCATAATTTTCAGTTTATTAACAGCTTTAGAGTGCAGTCAAAGCCAATTGCCTTTGTGTCCTTCCTTTTGAAGTAAAAAACCTGTCTTCCCTACTTAAATAATATTATCCCAATTTTACTGGCATGCCATTTTCCAGATTTCTTACATGCATTTTCTGTCTTGGGTAAAAAAGACTTCCATTTTCAGCAACAAGCATTCCACCCATCCATGGTCATACTGGTGTAACAGTGATAGGGTTTCCATTTTTTGTTGCGTATCAATCCTGCTACGTACCATAACAGCAATGCATTGATTAGCTAGCTCCCCGCCATCATCAAAACTTAAGATGGTATTTTCAGTTGGTCGAAATACTAATTGCATTCAGTTTTTGAAAGAGCAATCTTAGCCAACATCAAGAAAGTTTAACTATAATCCTGTTGAGATTCTAGTACTTAGAGATAATCATTTCAAGTATCATAAATCTCTCATAGCCATTAAAACTTGCTGGCACGGTTACCGAGGGAAAAGAAAAAAAAAAACTAAGTTTAACCACGTATGTAAGATAACAGCGCAGTGCTTGCTGACAAAGCTAACCAAGATTGGTGTTTCTATCAAAGAAAGTCTATTTCAGTGTTAGATGTGTGTAATGAAGTACAGGCTACAGATGAACAGGGGGGAGACCGCACCTGAAGCAATTTTATCTCAAGCAAACACACTAACTACCGTGGGAATATATAAATATAATTCCCAGAGAATTTCTACATTTTGAGGTGGAAAATGATGTTTGATTGTGATGGGCATAAATCGAGCCTATAGCTGAGAATTTCATCTTCACAATTATGTCAAACTACCCTTGATCTCTCTGGGTCGTGATTTTTTAAATATTCGTTGGCCTCCACAGCCATGGAAGCGTATATTGCAGCTATTTGGACTGAAAAAATAAATAAATTGATATTTATGTTGATTTTGATATAAGAATGTCAAAACCATCTTAAGACATAACTGAAAAAAATACTAAATCTTCAAATTTAAAATATATTTTTGTAAAGATATCGATATCAACCATAGAGTATCTTGAATGAGTTGTTCTTTGATGGGTACATCCCAACATTCTCAAAAGCAATTATGAAATTAATATACAATAAAAATCACCTTCTGTTGGAGCTGTGGTTGTTGAAAAGCATCAATACCCTGACAAATGTTCTCTCTCTTTAAAGGGATGCATTTTAATTCGATTAAAAAAACACAGCCTCGCATTTCTGGTGTTCTACAAATGTGTAAAAAAACCCGACACTGTTCCGTGGCTGGTTCTGTCTCCATGCTTCACCGACCCAAATAGTTACACTAACCTGTTAATGGTGTGTTTTCGGAATTATATTTTTATAAATTTTTATTTTTTTAATTGTTTTGATGTGGTTATATGAAAAATAATTTTTTAAAAATAATAAAAAAAATATATTGTTTTAATATATTTCCAATAAAATACACTTTAAAAAATAAATTTAATTACACTATCAATCAAGTCCTAAATACCTAGTCAATTAGGCAATTCAGCTCTTGTATATAATTAGTTCAATTGAATCCCACATTTTAAAATAGCAGTCAATTGAGTCAAATACTCAACTTAATCTGATTGGTCCGTTAAGTGGACTGTGGGGCATGTTTCTCTATTTGTACGGGACCTTGGTATGGACTTAAATTTTTTTTTTTCTTTTTCAAGTTTTATCTCTTAACATGAAACTACCTTCTTCAATTTTGCTTTTGTATTTCTATTTTTATGTTTGCTCTGTTTGACCTTAAAGATCCCCAACTCCAGCTCATTTCACATAGTAATTCGAAGGAAATTATGTATTGTACTCGATTGACTATAATTGGAAAACATGGGGTCGATTGAGCAAATTATTTATGTAAGGGATAAATTGACAGAATGAGGAGTGGCTATATGCCCTCACCACTACATCACAGGAAAATAAATATTCTTTTAAAGAAAATCAAAGATTAAGTCAATAAACTAAGATAAAAATATATATTAAAATATTTGATCATATTTGAGCTCTAATTTATTTTATTTTATAGTAATAAAAATATTTTACTCCGCTATATTTAAAAAAACAAATTCAAACAAATTATAAAGTCAAATATTTAATCAACTCAAATGTCAAAGCACAAAAATGATAATATATATATATATATATATATTTGAAAGGATAGAAAAAAATAAAATCAACATGAGTAAACCTGTTAGCTCACAACTCAAATTATAGGAATGTGATAATCTTATAAAAAATAAATTTAAAAAAAAAAAGCAAAATTTCCAACCAAACCAAATTTGAAGGATAAAATAAAAAAAGATTTTAAAAGAATGATAAAAAAAAAAAAGACTTGAGTGAAACCCCAGTCAAACTTATTAAATCATGATCTAGGTCATGAGATTGTACTAGTCCTATAGAAAAAAATAAAACAAAATTAGAAAGTTTAATCCTTAACATTACTAATAGCGAAGGAAGAAGTAAAAAAAAACAATTTAAAAAAATAATTCAAATCAACCTATAAAATCTTGGATAAATTGAAAATAATAATATAATAAAAATTAAGGTGTAAATCATAAGAAAAGAAAAAGAAAATGGTGTAAAGGAGATAAAGAAAAAGAGTTTATAGCTGAAAACACCTATTTTTCCAATAGTGAAAACGGTGTAGCTATTTTGAAAAATAGCTAGACCAATTTATATAAACTAGTCAAACTAGTTTTTAAAAATGATTAGACTATTTTAGCTACTGTCTTTATTATAACTCAATGGTCTGTAGTTAGAGAGGAAATGACAATTTCATTTTTTCTTCTTTTATTTCACCTTGAATGACTAGAAATTGATATTTAGAAGTAAAAGAGAGTCTTCTGATAGAAAAAACACATCTATACTAGAAATTTAGAAAGATTAATGAGATGAAATATTGAAATAAAGAGAAAAAGTGAAGAAAGAAAATGAAAAGAGAGAAGCTTTGAGAAAATTTTGACAAATCAACTTTCAAAATACATTTGGAAATCGAGTAAGGTGTTTGAAACCCATTTATATCAATTTGATCGATATTTTAGTGATTTAAAAAAAAAATTGATCAAAATTAAGTTAGGGTTGTAAGATGAAATTTTAGGGAAAAGTGAAATTCTTAAAAATTAGGTTTCTAAAATCCTTATAGGTTGTTGTGGGGGTGGAAACATGTTGAATTAATAAAGAAATTTGGATGGGTAATGAAGCTCGAGGGCCGGCCATTAAAAGACAAAAAAAGAGGTTTGATGAATTTATGTTACTCTTGTAAATTATATAGAAATTGTGATAACTAAATACATGAATAATAGTTTATATGGGAAATTAATGAAATTAAAGTGGGTTTTAGTTGTATTAATGCTTGTAGTGTTATTGTGATAGGCTAAATGTATAATTGATGAGGAATTGGTGGTTAATTGGATGAATAAGAAATTATTAAGATTTTAATATAAGAAAAATTATCATTTATTTTTATAAGGTTTCAGCCAAAACAATAAAAAGAATGGGTGAAGGATTAATGAAAAAGAAAATTCAAAGAAAACATATCCTTCTACTTTTGGTATATTCAGTTAAAAGATAAAATGAATTGTATTATAGTAATAATTATTTATGCATTAACTTGTTTGTGTGAAATAAAGTTAATACGAGGGTAAGAGACATTTAATGTTGAGCTCTTAAAATTACAGAAAAAATTATTGTGCAGGTACTAATATAGAATCCTAAATATAGAACTCAAACGTCTAGTAAGTGCCCAGCACTTTATTAATTATATTTTATTTAAAATTGTTAAAACATTATAATAAAATTCTTGATTGTTCAATGATATTATTACATTACATGAGATTGTTGTCATGTTTTAATCTAGATAATTTATTCTTGATTTAAGAACTAGTGTCGTATTATCTAATTCTTGATTTAAGGATTGCTATCATATTCTAGGTTGAATGACTAATTCTTCTAATGCCTTGTTTTGTGTTATAAATCTAGATATCTTAAATAAGATTAATGTTATATTTCTAGGTACTATGAAGATTACATTGAATGGGGTTTATTACTTGTGTCTAGGTCAATATGGATTGTTTTAATTAATACGAGAAAAAAGATAAAGAGGAACTAAGTTAATTGTTAACTTGATTTCAATAGATGTGTATACTTTAAGTTATTCAATAAATTTATTATATTACATTGAAAACTTTATGTCATATCAATTCATTAATGATATAAAATAAATTCAATAAATTTATTATTTTACATTGAAAACTTTATGTCATATCAATTGATTAATCATATAAAATAAATTCAAGATCCTCGTAGCTTCATCGGGACTAGTTGATAATATAACCCTTGCATTTTTTATTTATAAGAATATTAAAGAAGTTGCATATTATGTATAGTTTTTTTTTATGATAACAATATTAATAATGTTACATATTATGTGTAATTTTGGGGATTATAATATGAATGTTAATTAATTATTGTAATTACTATTCTAGGATCTTATGATATGTTACACTTAAATATTAATTAAATCCATGACTATCTTATATAGATTTTATTTTGATAATGTTTGTATTAAATTCTTAATTTCATAGGTAAATGATTCTTAGTTTAAATTATGTGTTATCATGTTTGAATTATTATATGAATGATTCAATTGAACCATAATAAAATGTTATGATGCGTTAATTTGTAATGTGATGAGTTCATGATTAGGAAATTTAATCACAATGATTGTATGAATGATTCAATTGAACCATAAAGATTTAAGAATATTTAGGAATGTGGTGTAAACTATGTTCTCTAAAAATTAATTTTTTTATGATTTTGAATTGTTATGATGTGCTGATCTTAAAAATAATTTATAAAAAAAAAATATTTTAATATATTTTGACATGAAAAGTACTGTGAAAAGCAATCATAATCATACTCTCAACCAGACTATTAATCATGTGTTTAAAAGTGTGGTAAAAGTTACTTTTAAAAGTATTTTTAGCTTAAAAATTTATCAAAATAATATTTTTTTTATTTTTAAAAAAATTATTTTTGATATCATCACATCAAAACAATCCTAAAATACCAAAAATAATTAATTTAAAGCTAAAAATATTTTTTAAAAAATAAAACAAGATCTAATCTTAATACTAAACAATACTAATGGGCTGCTATTGCACTACTGAATGGTTTCAAAAGGTTTTGCATCCAAAGGAAAATATTTATTTTTTTCATAATGGTTACTTAGTCTTTTTATTTTTGTTTAAAATTATGTTATTTAAAAAAAAATTATTAATTTTGTAGCTGAGTTCTATCATGTTATTTATAACTCTTTCAAATTTAACCAGTTTAATATAAAAAATAACTCAAAATAAAATATAGTTTAATATCTCATTTATTTTTTTGAAAAATAGTTTTTAAAAAATTATTTTTTAAATGTTTTCTATTTTTTTAATAAAAAAATAGTCAATAGAAAATTTATTTAATAGAAAGCATTTTTCAGTAAAAAAATGACTTAGTTTCCACAAAAAGTGGTTTTCTTTATTTTGGATAGAAAACACATTAGAGAAATTATAAAAATATTAGAAATATCACATTATGTGTTGATTATATCAAATTTGATTTTTAAACTTTTGATTACTATATATTTTATTTTGAATTTTTTTCTTTAATTTTATCCCTTAGAATTTGATTTAATTTGATTTTTATATCAACTTTGGTCTTTATTTTTATAATTGTTATTTGATTTTGTCTTATCATTTGTAATTGAATTTTTTATCTATCAAATTTAGTTCTTAATCTTTTGAATGTTATTTATTTTATTCAAAATAATTTATGAAATTATAATTCCTTTAATCTCATCATTTTTCTACTTTGTTTTATCTACTAGATTTAATCTCTATTATTTTAATTGTTATTTATTTTATTTGAGATAAAATATGAAATTAGTTTTTTAATTTCATTCTCATACAACTTTTAATTTATAAAATTTGTTTCTCATTATTTTAATAAACTTAAAAAAATAAAACATTAATAAGTTATTTTCTAGTTTATTTTTCATGACATAACTAAATAATAGAAAGTGATTTTAACTTATTTTTCATAATACTATCCCATATCAAAAAGTAATTCACTTTTTAAGAATTATTTTTTAAAAAAATTATTTTTCAAAATAAAACAAATTTATAGTGAATAAACAATATCTAAGTTAAATACCAGGTCAGAAGGTCATTTTTTGGTTCCAACCAGGTTTTAAAAACTATTGAAAAAAAAACATTTAACTAAATAAATAGGAAATTTTTTAAGACAATTTCAAAAAACCTTCGCAAAAAAAACGTCATTTTCTTCCTTGACACTATCAATTCAGCATATAAGTGGCTTGAAAAAAAAATCACAAACACAGGGAAGATAGGAGCTCACTTGATCGTGATAGTCATTTAAATTTGTATCAGTCATGTAGGGACAAGAGCTTCGCTGCATATCCTCCATTGCCCACAGTCACATTGCCAGCTTTGAAGAGAAATTAACAAAATGGAAAGAAGAAAAATGACAGTAGTAGAAGAATATGTATGGATGGTGGTGAAGGAGACACGATAAGAAGAAGAAGAAAGGCTAAAACGGGCTCAATGAAACTCACCTGCCCCACATTGAAGATATCAACAAAGAAGCCGAGATATCAAGATCTGGAAGAACATATAAGACAGGTCTGAAATGCTACCCAATAGACAAAACCATCTGTGTTCATCAATGCCTTGATGTCCATATATGTTTGCGTGTCTTCATGGATGGAACAAACAAGAAGTGGCTGCCAAGGAAAACTTGTTCGGTGAGGCTTTTCAATGGATTCCCAACATAATCTTGTATCTATGCAAGGTGTTCACATCATTTTGATCTGTTTCTGCAAGACAAAATCATCAATGATTGGATATATCAGAATGTCGGTAAACCACAAGGTAATTGTGGTTATTGAGAGTGTTCTTGAAATTTTCTTTCTCTCTCTTTTTGTTCGTGTTTCCATTTCAGAATTTAAGCAGGGTGTCTTTTCTTATATCAGGATTCAAGTATCATGACAAGATCATCCGGAAGTAAAAAAAATAATTAATTACGAACATGATTTAAATACTACCTTTATCAGCTTAATGCTAACATAAAAAAAAATACAAGAGAAAAAATAACTTTTTTGTTTTTAATAATGAATATTCTTATATCAGTTTTTGTACATTAAGATTAAAAAAAATTCTCTTTCATTATCAAAATTATATATTTATAAGGATATTTTCCGGTTCCTTAATTGTTTTAAACTCAAACTAATTTTATCTTTGCAAAAGCAACTTAGGAATTCTAAAGATAAAATTAATAAAAACACAGCTTGATATGTAACTCGGGTTTAAAATCAAATTCTATGAGAGTTTTCTAAAATATAATTAACTTGATTGATCTAAAAATGATAAATTAAAAAACAATTGAGAACAAAATTTACAAAAAAAAATGACAAAAAAAACTTATTGACCTAATACATTAATTAGTCTAGATTTGAAATTAAAATATATGAAAGTTGTTTTGAGATAATTTAATTAACTTGGTCTGTTAAAAAACAACTCAACAGACTATTAAAAACAAATTAATAATAAAATTGAAAATAAAATAATGCAATTCAAAAAATAACGAGGGATTGAAAATAAAAGGGAAGGGCTGAATTGAAAAAAACATTATTAAGTCCAAGTTTTTTTTAATTAGAGGAATTCCACTTAGCATAACTCGTGGCTCTAAACAAATGAAATGGATTTGTTGTTCATATGCAAAAGCTGGACTCGAAGTTGAAATAGATTGTCGGTTACTCTATCGAAATGGATAGCTATCTGGATAAAATTGACATCCAGAAGTTTGAAAACATTATTTAAGACATGATGTTGAAGTTATGTTTTCTACCACTTATTTTTTTATTAATAATCTATAAATTTGAAGTTTTTTTTATGTGGTATCTTGCTATAGAGATATTAACGGAGAAAAAATAACCACCTGATTAAAATTAGAGATTTTTAATTCTGAAGTTGATGAATCGGAAGTTGATGAATTTGTTTTAAATGAGTAAGTTTTTTAGATTTATAAATAAAATATAAATATTATTAAAACTGATTCGAAACTCATCCCAAATATATATTTATATTATATAAATATATTTATGAAATATTTAGATTTTTTTAATACAATATGATATATATATATCCTTTTATATTGACATAAAACACACATACAATTAATATTTATCATTTTATTATTTAATATATATATATATAACTATTTTTTATTGATTAATAAATAACAGTAAAAAATGGATACCCGTTTGAGATCCAGTGACATAATTTATATATATCTATTTTTTTTATTTATAAAATAATAGATAGAATATGAATTTTAAAAAATCTATCTTGAGAATACTCATTATTATTCCAAATTAAAATATCTATTAATACCATTTTGTGTGTTTTCTTACATCTCTCACTATTAAGTGGGGGTCTAACTTAATCAAGAGGATTAATAGCATCGAGTTGTATTAAAGAATCCATCTTTTCCATTGAAAAGAAGAGGGAAAACACACAAGAAAAGAAAATGGTGTTCTTGTTTCTTTCTAATTAGGTGGCAAAAACAAGCAAAAATTCAAGACAGGTATCGTTTCTCAAGAGATGGCCCGTGGCAGTCAAAGTCAGCAACTACACAGCATTTTCAGCCTTCAAATCGAGTCAGCTGATCTGGGAAGAAGGTTCCATTTCCGTGACCAACTTCACCTCTGTTTTGAAGAGAACAATAAACAGCGAGTCGATAGAGAAGTACATGAACCCACCAGGTGAGTGAGTCACAAACGACCCAAAACTCTTCCCCACCACACAGTGCCAGGCCACCCCATATACCGAGTCAAATTCCTGTCCAAATTAACCCATCTCAGTTCTGGAGACTCAAAACACATTGGCTAAAACCAGTTTATAAATAAATATAACCACTGTAATCAGTACTTATTAGCTATTAGCAATTGATAATCTAATTAATCAATAATTAATCTTCTGATGCTGTAAGAGTACCAAAGAGCTATTGAACTAAACATAAATAAGTGCTATTAGGAGATGGAGAGATGAGATAGACCTTCTTGAGGGCTCGAGCAAGGAGGGTAGGATTGGGGCGGTGTTTGGGAGCTGATGATATTGATGGGTCGTCGAGAAATGATCTTGCATAGCGAAGGGCACGTTCTTGCATGTCGACTGGCATGTCGGAAGATCTTAGCCTTACATTTAAGCTTAATGCAATGGCAGCTAGCTTCATGACTTCCTCTGTCGGAGACCTATCTTGGGCCATTATTAATGTCTCTTCTTCTTGCCTGTTTTGAGCAGTGAAAAAATGTTGTTTCAAGCCAGTAGCTCGCTCCTCTTTCTGTCTTTGGGATTTAATGATATCCATGAATAATAAACAAAGAGAATATGTGTGAAGACAAAGAATGGAGCTCTGCGGAGAGAATAAATAAGCTGTGCTAGCTTGCTTGCAGTGCTGGTGTTTAAAAGGTTTTTTTATTTAAAAATATATTAAAATAATATTTTTTATTTTTCACAATTTTATTTGTTATATTAATATATTAAAATAATACAAAAATATTATAATTTAAAATAAGAAAATTAAAATTTAATAAAACGTCAGATCCAGACAATAATGATTGATTGTGAATGTCATGAGCAGAGTTTAGTTGAGCATTGGCCAATAGTACGTGTACAAGTGTTGAAGTTTAGGTACGTTCGAGTTGTGTGATTGGACAGTTCTTTCATGTGAGTCACAGGGCGTGGTTGTAGTCAAGGTCACTGTACCAGTCTGGGTATGCATGCCGACACGGGGAAGGCATGGAAAGGGTACGGCGAAAGGTTTGAAGTTCTTTGTTGACCACCGTTGAACAAAATCAATCATATTAATCACGAATCTTTCTATGCTGATGTTTTTGCCTGTAGAAATCGATGGGAAAGTTGCCTTAGAAATTCTGTCAAAATTAGGTTTGAAACAATTTTGAAGAAAGGATGAGGGTAATTTTCAAGTGGCATCTGATTTTAAATTTATTTCAAGCTATTATATGTCACTAATTTTAATTAAGAGTTTCATCAAATTGGACTTGTATCAATTTAATTATGATATATAAGATCGAGGTTAATGATGCTAAGAAAATATTTTTAAGAATTTTTATATTTAATTTTATCATGAAAAATAAATTATATCATTCAATTTATAATTTTATCAGTTTTAGCTCTTATTTTGTTAATACTTGTTTATTTTACTTTTGATATTTTTAAAAGTTTAATTTATTTATTTTAATTTTATTTGTAAGTATTTTGCTTTTTTTTCTTTTGATTTCTCTATTTTTTTAATGTTTTACATAGTTTTTATAATTATCTTTTTAATTCTACCCCTTATTATTTTAATGCATTTGTTTTTTAATCTGATTTTGGTTCATTGCTATTTTCTTACCATTTTTCTTGATTTATCTTTTTTTATTTATTATATAAAATCAACATTATATTTGATTATATATATATATATATATATATATATATGATTCTTGTCCTCGTTCTTTCAATTACATTGTGTTATTCCTTTTTTTTTTTTGCCCCTAATTATTTTTTTTCATTTTGTTTTTATACCATATTGTTTGAGTTTAAAATTATTTTATGATTATAAATTTTACTTTATCATTTTTTATAAAAAAATTTATGAGGTAATTTTTATCTCATAACTAAAACTTGATTAAGTTTGGCTTATTTTTGGGTTCATTTATTATTATTATTTTTAAATTCATTATTTGACATTTAGTTATTAGGTCATTGACTTCAATTTTTATTCCACTTTCTTTTATTAAATTATCTCTATCTCAATCTTTTATCTTTGTTTTGTTATGATATTTTTTATTTTTTTAATTTTTTTATTTTATCTTTTATCTTTTAAAGTTTTTATTCTTCAATTTCATCATTCAATGTTATATTTTTCAATTTTTTCATTTCAAGAATTTATTTCATTATATATTTTCTAGCATGTTTATAGTTTTGGACACCGTTTCATTATTTATCAGACATCAATTTTGCAAAATTAAAGTATAATTATTGTAAAAATAACCATTAAAAAAATAAAACTCAAAGTTTATATTTCAAAAAAATGAAAAGTATCCTTTGAAATTTTAATAGATCAAGAACGGAAACCAAGACAACAAAAAAGAAGAAAGATAAGGAAAGAAAAAAGAGAAAAAAATAGTTATTGAAGCTACTCCTTTTACCACACGCCACTATAAAGTAAAGACCTTGCCAAGACAATTCCTATAGCACTAAAGATGGTCCCTGTTAGAGCTTAGAGTAAGCTCCATGTGCCACCATAATGTGCGGCCTTTCTCACATGATGGAGGATATGTTACACATGCTAAATAATTTTTTTCCTTTCATTCAACTAAGTCCCTGATTTTTTAATATCTTTTCAATCTAAATGTTGATTATTTAATATCTTTTTTCTTTTGGTTCAATTTTGTCCATGATTTTTTAATAACTCTTCAATTTAATCCTAAATTTTAGCTCAATAAAAGCCTGATTATGATATGAAAAAAGAATAAAATAAAATGGCCTAGCTAGCCTCAAGTGCAGCTCGACCAAACACAATAGAATAAGAAAAAAATACTCACACTTCGAATAACCATTGTCATCCTCTTATTTTAATTATTTAATTTATACATCTCAAAATACTATAATCTATCATTAATTGTAGAGAGAGAAAAATGTATTATAACACTTTAAAACCTAGGTTAGATAAAGAATTTGTCAAAAAGTTTCAAGTTTAACCTATTTAGATAGTATTTGATATTGCGATAGTGATTACTTTTCAAAAAAAAATTTATTTTGGAAGTGTATCAAAATAATATTTTTTTTAATTTATTTTTGATATTAACGCATCAAAATAATCTAATAATAACAAAAATAAATAAATTATAAAAAATTAAAAACATGGTCAAACCACAGTAACAAACAAGCTCTTTAATCGAGTTTATTAATAATATTAAGAGTTCCCTACACCTTTAACTTTTTTTTTTGCAAAAAAATAAATTTTAAGTGATATGCGACAAAGCACATGAAATAACCTCATTAAGAAATACTCTAAAAGATAGGAGGAAAATATTATTCCTTATGGCACTGTGTACCAATGAAAAATCATTGTGGATTGCCACATGATTTTTCTTTTTTAGTACTCTTTTTCTATGTTTTTATTACATCATTATAGGCCTAAATTAATGGTTACTTAAGGCACATTTATTAAGAAAAGCCAATATTCAAAGATATGAGACTACAATGAAAAACGCATGAAAAACAAAGATGGTTTTTCTAAACTTAAGGCTAAATGTATATTTTTGTCTTCCAACTTCTCAAATTATAAACTGTTAGTAGCTAACAATTTATGAAATTCAATTTTGATACAAAAATTTATTTTTTTATTTTTTGTTTCTAGTTTAAGAGATGAGAGAGAAAGTGGCTCAATTTTGATTGTAAAAAGAGAAAGTCTCAATTGAAACCGTTTCTGGCCATGAAAACAGGGGGTTTGGTGTCAATGGGTTTCGTCTAATGAGAAATATTTACACAATGTGTTTTTTCCTTTAAACTTGTCTAAAATGATAGATTTGAACTTAAAACGTTTTTCTTGTTTCGAGTTGATTATGATTTTAGAGTCAATTTCTGGGTTATTATAAAATATAAATATGTTTTAAAAGGTGTTTAGTGTACTTATGTTTCTAGTTTTTTCAAGTTAAAACATGGTTGAAATCAGCCTTCTCTAGGTTTGAAATAGACTAGTCATATTTATATGATCAGAGGTTATTGGAATCTAGGCAATGCAAGTTATGCGTTCCTTGATATTTCTTTTTTCTTTCAAAACATTAAAAGGCAGATAACTTATCATTCACCATTGAAAAAGATTGAAAAAAATAAGGCCTAAACCCTTTGATGTTTTTTGAAGGCCTAAGAACTCTAGACCCTCTTATCTTAAAGAGACTGAGTTTTTTTTATTTTTATTTTTATTCATTATAGTTGCATTTTTTTTCTTGTTTTTTTTTGTTTTAATTTCATCACTCAATAATTGGTTGGTTATTAATTGAGCAATGTAATTTATTTTAACTTGTTTTTATTTTTCAACTACTTTGATAATTTGTTGGTTATTGATTTTATAGTTGTTTATTTTAGAGAAAAAAATTATATAAAAAAATTATTGAAACCCTATTGAATCTATAACTCGAGTTATAACTTTGACTAATTAAGTTTGACTAGGTAGGGATTAGGCTTAATAATTTTTTTTGTTTCATGAAATAATTCTTGAGTTAATTTTTTTGAGTTTCATATATATATATATATATATATATATATATAAACATGAGTGTGGTTGAAATGACTAGTTAAAAAAAAAAAAACTAAAAAGGCCTAACCTTTTCTTGTAGCATGTGAGGAGAATCATTATGGATTTAAGTAGTGTAATGATTATTTTGCCTTCATTGCTAACAATTGCCTTAATATTAAAGGTAAAATCATTTTTTCAAAGGGATTCAAATGTTATTTATAGATTGATCTGGAATAATTTTGTTATTCAACTTTGAAAAGGCATAGTAAAAATAATTTTTTATCTTTGAAATCTGAAAATAAAAAGTTTTTCGTTTAGGTTTTGTTTTGTCTTTTTTTTTATTTGCATAGTAAAATAATGCTTACATCCTCAGTTGCTTAGAAAAATAACCTTGTAGAAAGGGGTTTATTTGTTTTTGCAGTCTTCTCATATAGTAAAATTACATAGTTAACTTTTATCTTTTCATATTTAAAGAATGACTTCGATGGTATTTTTACCTTTGTGCCATGGTTGTTTTTGTAATAATAGTATACCATTGGATCATCTTTGTAATTTATCTTATTAAAATATTAATAAATTAGTAAAATATACTGATGCGAGGCACACATGCATCAAAGTCTTCTGTGCTATTCTAGAGGTGCACAAGGATAATTATGATGACAAAAACACTCAACTGTCGTCTCATATGATGCACAAGAATGTGGTGCAGTTGTTGAGGTAACACGTTTGCCAAAGCGAGCAATAATTCTGCTACGATGAGTTTTTTTCTCGTGCCCTTCATTTCTCTCTTATGGGCCTTAGTATTCATGGCAGGCTTTTAAAAAATTAGTTGTGCCCTCCATTTTGTATTTGTTTTGGGTTTAATCCTCCACTCCTTTAGATTTTTATTTGCTTTAATTTTAATGCTTCTTGAACTTTATTTGTTTTTAATTTCATCCCTCTTCGTATTTAATTTAATTTATTTTTTGTACCCAATCTGGTTCTTATTTTTTTATTATTATTTTTTAGCTTTTGTATTTATTTTATTTTATTTTTATTTTGTCTTTTAGAATTTTAATTCATTTTTTTTTCAAATTTTGTTCCTCATTTTTTTCATTACTCATTTTCTACCATTTTCTTCATTCATTTTGTTTTCAATATAAT